GCCCTGCGCTTTCCTCAAGTGTCACTCCAATTCCTTTCCCCTGCTCAATCTGTTGCTCTGCTTCCTACCCTATCTGCCACTTTCCCATCCATGATCTGCTGTATGCCACACAGAAGGTACCTGCACAGCTTGTGGCAGAGGCTGGCCACTGCTCTGGCTTGTCTAGAGTTTCCTACTGTATGCAGCACCTGTTGTATCTGATTTACGAGAAGTCCAATCCCAGTGTAGATTGAGCAATGAAATATTTGACCAATAAATAATCAAACCCACAGCTACTTGGCATTATTTTAAGTGTTGGTATGCCAAGGTGAGTGAGTGCTACTTATTGTCCCGAGCTGTGTTGCTTATTTGAACTGTCATGACTTCTCACATCCCAGCTCGCTGCTTGGATTTCTTTCTAGGAGGTGTAGTTCATGCATCAGGAGCAGCATACACCTTTGTCCTCTTAGTATACTTAATTGTAAGTTAACATCTTTAAACTGCAATAGTAACCTCTGTAACAGATAGGACAACACAGGATCATATGCTTTATGTAACATAAATAACAAGCATGTGGTTGACATGACATACCATATGTGTTTCACCTGGGGAATACACACTCATTGGTGATGTCCTCTTTTGCAGTGGAACCAGAGGTGGCCTCTCTCTTGCATATGGCTGTTTGTTTAATTTTCTTTGTAGAATCAGAGACAGGAAAACAGCCAAAAGGACCAAACCTAGAACTGCCATTAATACTGTGAACCACAGTTCATTATAGAATTTTACAGTTTTGGTCCCCGTTTCATCTTTTGCTCCCGGAGTTGTTAAGACAGGACCTGTAAAATCCAAGGTAAAAAGGAAACATTATTTTATAAAGCAGTTTAGTGATGTGCAATCTTCTTTTTTTTTTTTATTATAAATTAGCAAGAAGTTTGAAGCAGTTTGTCACACTGTGCTTATTTGCACTTATGTTCAAGGTGGTGTAATGGTTCAATATGCTAGTGGGCTGTAATAAAAAGCTTACTGCACTCAAGAGACCATGCTTAAAGTTCTGGCATTGCTGCTTCGGTTGGAAATCACCACTGCATTGGCATCTCCCAGGAACGGAGAGGGGGGTGGAATTTGAAAAAGGTTTATCAAAGTAACCTTGAACAGTTGAAACAATGATCGGTAATTTCAGAGAGGAGCAGCTATGATGTTTTCAGTAGCATTATAGCTCAGCATAAGCAGGTGCTATCATGGACACTGCAGCAGTAAGACTATAAAACATTAAAACCACAGAACTGAAGGGAGTGAAAGAAGGGAGGGACCAAATAATAAAAGCCTGAGAAAAGGGACACAAACACAAGACACAATAGCTTTCTGTGCTGCTTCTTTCCGACACACTATATGCATTACTGACTGGCATAATATAATAACAAAATATAATATAAGAAATTAGATGCTTTGGTAACATGCACATTCATGAGGCTGTTAGCAGCTTTGAAATATATGTAGCAATGGAACCAAAGATAGCTGTGTGGACTATTGCTATAGAAAGACAAAAGTAAAATAGAGGTGACTTCTGTCAGCTGGCTGCTTCTAGGCTATGAAGGAAAAAAAAATCCACCAGTTAGTTTATAGCCCATCGCCTTCTCATCAAAACAGGAAGAAGAGCTGACCAAGAGAATTAAATGATGGGTCAAATTGTACCTAACTGGAAAAAAAAAATCTTCAGTGCCCTATTTCAATTTTGCTCCAGAGACATTTTTGAGGTTTCCTCAGTTTGATTATTCTACATCCCAATTCTGGTTCAGGAAGCCGTGTTTTAATACAAAGCATTGACAATATCCTCCTCTCTCCTAGTGTAGATTAAGAATTAATAAACTGCCCCTCCACACCCACATATTGACACTGGCACATGCTGATGGCTTAATGCTAACTTGGATGTGACTGGTAGGGAATACTAATTGCAGCACTTGGAGAACAGGTTCTTAGAGAGACAGACTGATAACAGGCTTCCCTGGCTGCTTGCTTCTGACAAGACTGGTTCCACAAATTTCCGTTGTTTTCCCTTACTACTTGGTGGGCTAACTTGTTTTTTCCACCGGTCTGAGCCTCAACATGCCTCATCTCTAACCAGCAATGAAAAACAAAAAGATGTTAGGCTGTATAATGAAACTGTGGGAGAATATTTTGAGAAATATTATAAATGCCTTCATTTAAGCCCATACTGGGGCTTCATCTGGAATTCTATGTGCAGTATGGGTAAGATCAGCTTATGGTGCAAGTATATGGTAAAAGTATGTAAGAGTAGCTAGTATGGGGAAGGCGAATCTGGAAAGTCTGTTCTCCATCTTTCATAGCACAAGAACAAATGAGCATTTAATGTCATTAAACTGTAGGACATGGGATAAAAAGAAACACTTTTTTCACATGGTCTATAATAGGATGTGGGACTCATTGCCACAGGATGTCATTGAGGTCAAGAGCAGAGCAGGATTCAAAGAGGAATTGGATATTCAGATGAATAACAAGGATATTGGAATTTAGTCATAACTTAAAAAAAAATCATATATTTCAGGGTTTAAGCCATTTTTTCTAAGGGCTCATGGTAACACCTCTGAAGACATATGCCAACTCTGATGTACTTATACCTTTCTCTGTGGGAGAACGGATAGTGAACTGTCTCACTACATCATATATAATGTGCCTCTATCTCTGACTGCCCCTTACGGACATGATGGGCCTAGTTCTGCTCTTGTTGGACTTAATGACACAGCTTCCATTGACTTCAACAGAATCAGATTTTCTTGCTCTATTGAAGACTGGCTAAGATCAAGTTTCTGCCTATTCACCATGTTGTTAACATCCAGAGGGGCTAGGACTCAATCTTTTTAATGTAAAAAGAAAAGAGCAATTCCACAAATCAAGTAGCATTAAAAAAAAAAATCACAAGCTCGTTTGAATTATTCTGAAGGAAAAATGAGGGACCAAGGTTGTTTTTATTTGATGTGTCCATAGGTGCCAACTTTGGTTTTTACCAGTGGGTGCTTGCAGACATGAAAACAAAGTCCTCTATTTTAAACTCAGTGCGTTCTTATGCCAACGCCGCCCATGCCCTGAAGATGCATCATTTTACTTCAACCCAATTCTGCAGCATCTGTAAAGATTGGGTGCTTTAGTGGGGCTTTTTGGATTTTTTTTTATGGTAGCTGATTGAATCAGCTTTAGCTAAAAGTGCCAAAAAGCTCTGCTGAAGTGCCCAATTTTTACAGACACTGTGGAGCCGGGTCAAAGTAACGTACTGCTTCTTCTGGTACAGTGCAGGTTGCTTTTTTTAATGCCTTAGCCATTGCTTGTGGGTGCTGAGCAACCAATAATTTTTTTTTGGTGGGTGTTGGGAGTCCCAGAGCGCTTCAGGTTTAATCCTGGCATTTAGCTAGGACTCCTGGTACTAGACCTGGTCTATGTGATAGCTGGTTGTTGGTGTTGCCCTTTATTTGATTGTTCAGTGACAGGCAAAGCTATGGGCAAAAAAAATCCTTTGTTTAAGAGAATCTCAAAGGCTATACCTGCATCTATACTTGCATCAGTCACAAGAAACCGATTGATTTGTTTGGTAACAAGGACACACAACTTAAGCTACATAGCTTAATGCTTCAAGGCACATATCAATAATTAGGCCCGTCAAATTCTGTGTTTCCATATATGATCTAGTCCCGAGAAAATTATGTCTACTATCACACCACGCATCCACAAATAATTAGCAGTAGTTAGCCAAGAGTTTTACACATTTACCAAGTCCAGTAGCAGTGTTATATTTGATCACTGGTGTCATGGCACTTCCTTCATCAGTGGTGCAGGTTACTTGGAAGGAAAAAGCTCAAAAAAAGAATTAAAAAATAGTTACAAATTTGTAAAAAGAAAACAATCAAAATACTTTCATT